CTCCTTAATCAATTATTAAAGACCATTTAAATTAATATATTTTAAATTACTTATTAATGATTTGATATATCAATTAAAGAAAGAAATTTGATTCAATTATTATTTACTAATTTTAGCAGATAGTCAATAATTTGAGTAAAAAGAGCAAGAATAAATTTTTTTTCTTTATTATAACAAAGATTTTTTTTATTGTGGGTGTGAATAGGATATCTTCAGAAGGGGTTTGGTTTCGGCCAGCCTCCACCTCTAGATAGAATTTCTCTCCCTATAAACCGGAACACCTCTGGGAGAGCCCAGCTGGCTAAGCGTGGCCTGTGGGGATGTCAGGGTGGACTATGAGATCCGACATTGGGCTTGAAGAGAAGAAGCAAAGATGGGAAGCTGGTGGTGGGCAAAGTATGGTTATAAGTAACCCACCACCAATGGGCATGTGGCTGTTCCACATAATTCCTATACCGACCAAACAATGAAGGATTGAGTTTGAATAATACTGACATCATTATTATTTAATAAATTATCATCTTCCATTAAAATAAAATTTTATAATTTGTTATTTTTTATATAAACTCATAAATTCTTAAATTTTCAAACATCTATAAATTTTGATAATTAATGAATAACAAGCCAAAAAACAAAAGGTAAATTTGAATTAATTTACAAACCTAATAATTATGTCTTATAGTAAATAAGAAGGAAAATTAGTAAACATATTTTATTGATAAAGAAATACTTATTTTAAAGTGTATATTACTTCTTTATATTGCTTTATGAAAATTAATCAGTATTATTAATGTGCTTTATACATGAAAAAAAAGTAATTTAAAGGAAAAAGTTTAATAAAATAAATTAATACTTATTAATTATATTAATATATTATGATGCATCATAACTTATATATTATTTTCTAAATTTAATCCTTTTCATTTGCCCCTTTTTCCAAGGCTGCTAAATAAAAATTCTTTGCTTCTTGTTTGTTCCCTAATTCAAGTATTTTAAAGATTCTGTTCAACAGCTTTAGTGTTACAGCTACATTTAAATTAGATTAAGAATTTGTACCTTTTCTAATTGATATTTTAGGATTTAATGTATATCATAAGCTTATAAAGCATTTAAAAATTTCTTTAAGTGATGTACTAATGATTACTTAGTGTAGAGAATTAGTGCCAAATCTGATGTTTAATTATAATTTACCCTTATTATTCCATTCAACAAACATATTTAGGATTTATTGATATTGCTTTATCGAAACGTTAAAGGGATTCTTAATATTTTTTTAATTTCCTTAAATTTTAAAGTAAGATAAATGAATAGATAATGCTGAGTCTAAATATTTTAAAATATCTATTAAATTACCTTAATTATTCAAAGCAATATCATATTGAGGATTAAGTAAAATTGCCTTGTCAAAAAATTCAATTTGCTGGCTAATATTTTTTTAATTTAAATATAACCTTAACAAAATTAAGGAAGAGATAATGAAAATCTTAATATAAAATAAATATATTTTACCTTCATTATAAATTCTTTAAGCATCTAAAATATTCTATTGCATTTTATCACTGAAATCAGGAGTAATTTCTTCAAATTTACTATCACCATAAGTATCACAATTAATGTAATCTTCTCTTTTTGTTTAGCCTAAAACAATATTCTTTATTGTATCAAGAATATCATTGAATTATGATATTTTAACTTATTTTGAATAATTACTTATTTTATTATACTAATATTATTTCTTAAACAAAGAAGATATTATTTTAATCTAATTTTTAATATTCATAAGATTTTAATTATTATTATTTCAATCTATGATAATAAAGATTTTGATCTTATTACTATTTATAAAATTTTTCTATTTGCCATGTATTCTAACTAAATTATAAAAAAGATTATAATATTCAATTATTTTAATCAAAACATAATTATTAGTTTTTAAATTCCAATTTTCTAAATCCTTCATCCTTTCTTTCCTTTTCCCTTTTCATTTCAATCCAACAACCGCATTTCTTCCCTAATTTATATTCTCCTTCTTATATAACTTAATAATCTCTAATTAAATTAAATAAATTAAGAAATTTACAAGCAAAAATCTTCGTTCAATTCCACCCATTTTCCAAATTTCAATCCATCTTCATTATATTAACCCCCACCACTGTGTTATTTTATAATCTAAATAAATTAATTACATATTTTCAAAAATCTTGAAACAGGAATCTCTAAACATAGTTTACCAATAACCAAACTTTTTATTATTTTTATATTCTCCTTTGAAAATTACTTGACTTTTACTAATAATGTGATATAAAGGTTGCAATACTCTCGAAATTTATCCCATAATTCTATCCACTTTCCACACTTCGATCCATTAAGATCAAAGAAACCTTCACCGCTGTAATACTTATCTTTTATGTTTTTTACATATAAATAAAGCCTCTGTCATCATCATTTCTATACATAGAATCCCATCTCTCAATTTATTTACCATTTTTATAGTATCCCACTTAAATAACTTGACAATGACTAAGTCTAATTGAACGTTTAATTACTAATTATAATTATCGCTTAATTCTACCCATTTACCATTTTTTAAACCCTATTCATCATATAATCCTGAACAACTTATTTATTAGAAAATTATATTTATATTTTACATCTTTTCCATACTGTTTTCTCGATCATATCTGTAAAGAGTTTCCCACATGCCACACTTTACCCCATTTATATAATCTCCAATATAAAAGATTTGCATATAACTACAATAAGATTAATATTACTCCTTAAAATGATCGCTCAAATCA